GGAGGAGGAGGGGGAGGAGGAGGTGGGGGAGGGGGAGGAGGAGGAGCGAGAAAGACCGTGACACAGTTTTGACTCCTGGCTGGGGCGCCCTGACTGAGCCGCCGGGAAAAACGACGAAGAAGCCGAGGGAAGGACCGAAGGAGGGAGGGAAGGAGGGAGGGAAGGAGGGGGAAAAAAATAGGTTGGACAAGAAGACAAGACAACTGCGCAAACCATCTCAGGGCTAAGGGACCGCGGAATGATACAGGCAGGCACCCCAGGGAGGGATACCCGACAAACGCCGAAACCGACGGCGAGCGGCTATTTCCTGTCTGACCGTTACACTCCCTTCCGGAACCGACCCTCTCTCCACACCTGCCGCCACGCCACACCCGCGCATGTGCCAGTCCCCACGAAGAGCCGTTGTACTAGGATGGCAAGCAGGCAGAGGATAGCCGTCGACAGGGGCAGAGTCCGTACCCCGGCGGGCACCGGACGCTTTCCCGGTCCTTCACTCCCATCCTGCCTCCCTCGCTCCTTGTCGTGGCAGTTCTCGGGCCATGCGGGACGGCTATCCGGTAACGGTGTAGCACACGCAGTCTGGGAAGGAAAAGGGTGGGAAGACAGGTCCGCAGCGACCGAGGACGACGACGAGGGGTGGGAGCGCGGGGACGCGGGAGGACTGGAACTTCCCATACTTGAAGACAAGGCGGCTGACAGGTAAGTCGAGGGAGCTGTGAGAAGGAGAATGAGAAAGATGACTAGAGATGGGGCTGGAGGAGTTCGTTTTCCAAAATAATATAAAAAAAATGAGTGAAAGGGATGTAAGTGAGAGGTGGACGGGCAGTCATGAATGAAATACGGGCGAGGCAGAGAATGAAGTCGTACCTGCTACCACACCCCGTCCCAATGGGCGAATTGCAAGGTTTGCAAAGAGTGGGGCGGCGTCGACAGCATGTACAGTCTGAACAGTCAATGGGAGCAGAAATGAGTGAGAAAAGGCACAGAGCATGCTTGAAAGAGGTACGCTGCCCCTTAATGGAGTGGTAGGCAGCCTGGTACGGTGCCTCTATTCACGACCTGCCCCGAAAGTATACTTGTCGCCATCTTCATGGAAACAAAACTGATGCTGCGCAAGAGAAGAATTTGGTTGCGAACATCCTGAACTTATTTCCAACTTAACATGCCGGAACCGAGTAACCGGTCGCCGTGGAACAAAACTGGTTCTGTGTTTCGCGCTACGTGTGTTTCAACGTGGGGATCGGCTCTCAGAGCTTGCCAACATCAGGCACTATATGAGTGAGAGAACGACACCGGGAAAGCGTTGCGCATTCCCAATATGAACCCATCAAAGAGACAACAGGGCAAGAACTGTGCCAATTGCCTCTCTCGTCATAATTTCTTCTAGTCACGGAGCGCGCGTGCGGATGCCGATAAACCCACGAGGTCATCAAGGCTATGGACAGGAGTCGCTCCCTGTCGTGCCACCCATCTTCATTGCTGTGGTAATGAGCCACATAAACCGGCGGTTTCCACAAGGAAAAGGAGTTATGCAAAATATGCCCTTCGAGGTAACTCTGCAGGTCTCCTTCACCGCCGGAATCACACAGGGTGTCCTATCGACTCTCGATACCTCTCTCTCTCTTTTCTTTGGGGCCATGTTTTTGTCACTTTTTGAACACTTTTGGCGATTTCAGGGAAAGCCCTTGTCAGCTGTAACATCGGACAAACACCTCTCGCATACTAGAAATATTGCTGCTTTTGTGCTTCGGAAAGCAAAGCAATACTTATGCGCTGAGTAGTGTTGGAGGGCATTGCTGCGGTTGGTGCTGCCGAGTCGCACCATGTAGTATATATATAATATTTTCGTAACCTCCTGCAACCCCCCTTTCATTTCCACTCCACCGTGACCTTCTTTTCATGGTTCTGTCACCTTACGATCCTTCCAGACCCTGCACCGGTGTCAGTGCAGAAAATACCGGAAGATTTAGAGATGGAGGGGAAGCAACTGGGCACGGAGAGGAGGAGGAAAAGTGGAGGAGGAGGACGAGGAGGAGGAAGAGGAGGAGGGAGAAGACATGGAATGGGAGGAATGCATCGACTTAAACCTTCCCATGTTGCCTCCCAATGGAAAATTGAAAAGTAAGGAGGAGAAAAATGAGGAGAAAGTAGGAAAAAAAGAATTACGTCGTTTTCTGCAGAGCGAGGAGAGTGGCGACTTGCTCCTCACCTTGGAGTCAGAGAGGTGAGAAGAGAAGGACAGCGCCGGAGAGAGGGAAATGTCGTCCCAAACGGGGCATTCGGTGCGCGCACAAAGGAAAATGGCGGGATTGTTCACTTTCACACGGCTGATCTTGCTCTCTTGCCGCAACGGACCCGGCTTCTGTCCACGCATGCCTCCCACCCTTCCCTCCTCGCAGCCGCGACGGCCGCCCTCCCTCCCGCCCTCCATCACGGCCTTAGTCAGGGCCCCACCCTCTTAGGCCTTCAGCGACTTTCTCATTGGTCTCAAGTCACCTTCACCCAGCTCTTTCATGCCCTACGGAGGGAGGAGGGAGGCAAGGAAGGAGCGTCCCTTCCGGAGCTGGCGGCGGTCCTGGAAGCGAAGGCACAAGAGGAGGAGGGCCATGCAGGTTCAAACTCCACCTGACTATGCTGGGGGGGAGGGGGGGAAGGGGGGGGTTAGCGAAAGCCCGTTTGCTCTGCCCCTTGTCGCCCAGGAGCAACCATCACCCTCCCTTGAGTTGGCGACTGGCAAAAGGGAGGGCGGTGGACCGCACGCAGGAGGAAGGAAAGAGAGGGGCCAAAAAAGAAGGAAAAGTAAGGGGGGAAGGAAGGCACGAAAAAAGAGGGAGTGGTGGATTTAGAGTTCCAGTAGGATGGAGCCACACGTAGAAATTGCAAGTGGAAGAAGAGGAGAGAATCAGTGAGGAGGAGGCACAACCGACTCCACGGAGGTAATAATGAGTACCAGGCCTGGACACCGCACCCTAACGAAGCGATTGAAACGAATTTGCAGGACAGCATGATTTATGGTCAGTTTCTGAGCATGGGAACATCGTTAATTTTACAAGACCAAAGCCCAGAAAAGCACCCACTTCGCGTTTTGGATGCCTCCGAGGGTTTTCCCTCCCTTTCCGACGAGCCGTCCCACCTTGTCTTTGACCACATCCACCGCCTCCTGGTATTAATGTGCTATGGCAAAGGCAGCATTCGTCTCGGTGCTCGGTTCCCGCGCCTCGCTGGTCGCTTCTTTCTTCTTGGGCCGGGCTCCTCTAGGACTTTCCTCCACAGCCTGTGTCCGCTCGGATCCGCGCTCTTACCCTCCCCTTTACCCTGTCCCCCTTTTTCCATCCTTTAAAAAAGCTTTTCCACCACAGTGTGCATAGGCAATATAAGCAAGCAATTTGGGTATCAGGTCGGTGATGAAATCTTAGCTCGCTCCGATTCCAAGCATCCACGAAGCGTTTTCTCAGACTGTCCCCCACGAGAAACATTTGCTGATTAGCATCCTTTCTTAGCAAATTGGGCAAGCGTTCTAAAAGCAACATGACACGAGGCGGAAAGAACACATGAAGGCAAATATATCAGCAATGCAACAAAACACTATTGTTGGCAATATTGATTGGTTGGGGGGGGGGGGAGGAGAAGACAGAAATTGTCATGGAACCTCCACATTATTTCGAGGATTCTCGAATCCATCCAGCAAAAATGTTAGCCAACCCTTTCGCTTCTCTCACCGCGGATGCTGCTCGCTGATTCTGAGTCCGAATACAGCATACCTTCTTACATCCTCTTTTTTCTTCCCAGCCGTGGCTCATTTGGTTACCGGAAAAGAGATGAGCTTCCTTTCCGTGCGTTTTTTGACCGTTCAAAGTAAAGAAACCTAAGAGGGAGAAGACGGATTTGATGTCCGATGTGGCAATATTATGGTCTACTTCCATTCAGGAAACCACGGATAGACCTCATGTTATACTTGCCCAACACAAGCCTGCTACGCGTGGTTAGCATCTGAATTTTGGTGGTCTCTGTGTAACTCCATGGTCTAAAGGCTGAGGTATTACCCGCTGCACAGATTTTGATACAGGATTCATACTTGCGGGGCTGGTGAGTACAAAAGTACTCAAAGACTACTCGTCTCCTAGAGGGAAACAGAGACTGGGCTTCTTTCGCAAATGTTGTGACTCCTGATACCACTAAGTAGGATGCCCGTCCAAGTAAAGTCATGTGACATCCAACGCTATCACATGGCGTCGAAACAAAGGTTGAATTTGGAATCTTACTCCGGACTACATCAATACATGGATGTAAAGTTGCGTTTTGGTCGAAGACGAGCATGAGTCTTGAGGCATTTACAAAGTTGAACGCCTCAAGAAAGAGAGAGCAGGGCCCCTGGCTGTATTGTCTATTTGCTTTCTCCTGCAAAATATCACCTCCTCGAAAATACATCACCATCATATCTTCTAAGCTTGTGTTCCAACTCCTTCTGTCTGGATATACGTTTAGGACTGCACTATTGACTAAATCAGGTCCGTGGGCTTTGATATCTGAATGAACGTGGTATAGTGGAGTACTGGAGCATTGTTGAAGTAGTTTTTTACTGTTTTTATAACCCCAGGTGTAATTGACTTCACGGCATGACATTGTAGCGGATTCCATTAAAGACTCTATTCTCGAGTTGACCTCGCCTCGCGCTGCAATCAAAACAGGTGGGAAAGCCACACCAGAATCACTGTTTACCTCGAGAGAGCTGGTCGCTACCCCCGAGCAATGAGATAAGACTTCCTTGACTTGTGCAAGCTCCATTAAACGGTTTCCTGAGCGGCCAACAATTGTGAATTTAATCCATAAGCATGAAGACTTGTTCATTGCCGCGTCAGGAAGTGCTGTTTGCAAGATTGGATCGTATTTTGGTCGCTCCGTATACTGATCGAAAATGACGGAGATTAGCGCTTCTCTATATAAAATAAAGTAAGTCAGACCATAGCAAAAGATTGTTATGGCCAGCAAAGCACGACCTCGCATGCTCGGCGAAAGTTCTTTCGAAGTCTCCTGTAAAGTCTCATAGGATGAAAAGAGATTTAATGTAAGATTGAAGTAGAGCCTATTTGAGTTACTGGTCGTGATACGACTCGTAGTGATGTCCTACGCCCCTGGAAAAGCATGCTTAATTATCATTTCAAATCCTACCCCGTATGTCGAGGAATCTCCGAGGAGGCTCCCTGGACTGAGGAGCTGTATTATGATATAACTCAAAGCCATGGTACGTTGCAGTACAGGCATATGTGAGAATGGCACACAAGAAACATGGAAGTACACAAGGCTCTACGTGCTCTATTATATCCGCAGAGAAAAAGCTTAGGCATATTTTTAATAGTCGAGGCACCAATCATGTTAAGAGCAGCCGAAGAGCACGTCCAAGGCGGCGAATGCACGCCTTAGCAACCATCGTTGAAGAAAATATTGTAACAAATAATTATATTAAATGAATATCCCAAAAAAATGGCCGATGAACAGGATTGACAAGTATTAAAACGTACGGGTCGCCCTCAGCGCAACTTAGCAGAGTGCTCTCCGACTCGGAGGATGAGGAAAAGACTCTGCAAAGATGGTGTACATGGTCGCACGCGAAAAGGTGAAAGCATAGTGGCATACTGGGCGTCGCTGTGCAAACAATGTGCGGAAAAAATACGATTGACACATAAACATGTCTTGGGCGCCAAAGAGCCACAGAAGGCTGCTGGTGCATTTCGATGGGCCGGGGCCCACGAAGCGAGGGAGCTCGGTGGGAGTGTGCGAAACCGGTCGGCTCGGCACCTCGGAGCATATTAGCAGCGAGGTCTCTTAGGGTAAGGGAAATGAACCCAGAAAGAGGTGTGACATTCCATGGGAACTCAAATGAACTGGTCGGACGATTTTCGTGTGATTGTTTCCTCCTCAAGCGCGTGGGTAAGCGAACCAGGTCGGACACACCGACCTATATAAGCAGGATCCCGGTAACCTTCTTTGGCTCTGCAGTCGCCCCACACATCCGGGTCGCCTAATGTTGATATCCTCCGTCTCATGTTCAGAGGAGGCATAGTTTGGCAGATAATCTCACAATGGAACGAAGAACATTACACATATTAGAGGATGGCTGGAGGTTTTTGTTCTTCAGGCAAGTTAGAAATTCACAAGACTCCTGTCATTCTTCTCTTCGCGTCCAGACAGCCTCTACGCTGGCCTCCCGTCTCCTCCACAACGAGTAGTTTGGCAGATTATCTCACAATAGAGCGAAGACCATTACACATATAAGAGGATTACTGGGTGTCTTTGTTCTTCAGGAAAGTTTGAAAGATCACCTGACTCCTGTCATTCTTCTTTTTGCGTCCAGACAGTCTCTATTCTGGCCTCCCGTCCACTTCCCCACCAGGTGGTTCAGCTGCTCGAGTGAGCGCGCGTCCTTCAGCTGGCGGAGTAGATCCCCACCATTCTTAGGACGGATGATCATCCGTTGGGTGAGGCGTCCCCGCCTCCTTACCCCTAGACGGAAGTTCCCTTTTAAAGGGGGCTGTGTCGGGCACCTGGTGGATGATATTATGGAACAGAGGGTCGAATCGTCAGGCTGTAAGGGGCGAAGGGGATGACGCACACGCAATGCCAGTCCTGTCTCAGCTCACCAGCGGATACATGTACTGCATGACGTAAAGAAGCATTCCAATATCTGCCTTGTCTACGACGGTGAGGTACTCCCCCATGCCCAGCGCCTGGACTATCTCTGCCGCCCGCCGGATAAGGGCTTGGCCCCGCTGGAAGGGGGCAACAGCTTCCGCCCACTCGCTCCTATCTATGACTGCACGATATGACATAGAAAGCGTAAATCATTCTCGAACACGAAGCCGCGGGGCTGGCGGGGAGGCTGGTCAGTATTGGTAAGTACGTGTCGGTGGCATGGGCATCTCCACCGTTTCCTCCGTTCCCGCCTTGGTCCGGATGCGCAGCGTCCCACTCCTGGCAGTCGTGCTGCTGCTAAATGCAGTCACGATGTCATATTCGGTATACGACATTGCACCTATTGCTTGGAAGGGAAGATAATGACTTCCAAATCAATGCCAGCATCGGCCATCGTGACGGCCACCTATAAATTTTAAACGCACACAGCCGTCGCTCACGATCGCTTTAAGATGACGTGCGCGGGAAAGACTTCGCGTCTTTATGCGCCTTCAAGATACAAGAACGATGCGAGAGTGAGAAATATTAGTATCAAGCAAGGAAAAAAAAATATACAAACAACTTCGGATGCGTGGCAAAACACAATGTAAACACATTGACGAAGATGGCAACTTCGGCTGTTCTTACGCCAGACGGAGGATGTCAACATTAGGCGACCCGGATGTGTGGGGTGACTAGAGATGCATAGCCAAAGTAGGTGACCGCAGGATCCCCACCCCGTCGTGCCACCCGTCCCATTGCTATATGTAAAAATCGTTATAGATTAAAGGCAGACAGATTAAAGGAAATATACAGAGAAATACCATACGAGGTAAAACTATGAGAACACCCTCTTCCTCGAGGGATTGTCTATCTTCCCCTGAGTGCATCCCGGTTACCAACATGGGCTATACACTGTTGGTCGCCCCACACACCCGGGTCGCCTGGTGCTGACAAAAGTGTGTAGCCCATGTGGGTAACCGACAGGGATGTAGCGTGGTAGAGGGGGAATAGAGGACGGAGAGGTACAATGTATCCCCAGTGTAAACTAATGAAAGATTTCAGATACAAAAGAACAAGAACTGTGTAAATGTCTCTCTCGTTCTTGTTTCTTCGATCACGTACTGTGCATACATCGGCCGATACACTTACAAGGTCATATCGACCACTGACAGGAGTCCCACCCTCTCGTGCCATCCGTCCCAGTATCATGGTTATGAGCCATGAAAACCGGCGGTACCCATAGGGGAAAGGAATAATACAGATTAGACCATCATTAGGTAATATTAAAACTGTTCTTTTCCCCCCCGCCGGCAGGAAATCTGCCGCTCTCAATCACGTAGGGAATGCTATCGGTACTTTCTTGTTCCATAGATGGTTTTATCGGCTCGACTCCTGTTGGGCCTTTCTCTTTCTTTACCATGAACCATGAATCGCTTTCTTTTAGCGAACATGACACTTTAAACAAAAAGGATAGGGAGTAGCCAATGATGATTGTCGTAATAACTGCAAACCCTGAACTGGCAACGAACCGGCATACCAAGTGCAAAGAACAAAGTTCAAGATTTAAATTAGCCAGGGGGAGACTCTGTGGGCCAAATGAATCCATTGTATTTTATCATGTGTGTCTGACATTTATTTACGTAGGATATGGCAGCAGAGCTTAGAACTGGCGTCATGGGCCAACGTCCGAATCAACTTGAGAGACGGTCCGTTAACCCCCTTTAAAAATTTAATGTTCGAGTGATGAATCGTTCCTCGTGAACAGCAGGCCTACCTCGAGCTCTGTATTTTTTTTTCCTGTGATCTCTTTCCCACGCTCTTTGTCATGAAAAAGAAAAGTCTGCATGTCGATATCGACGTTATCCTATCAACACCTTCTCATGGTCTGTCTTGCCTAAGTAACTTTGAGCACTCATTTGTCCGGATATGCTACCTTCGTCGACCATATCATAGTCATAGACGATGTGAATAACTTCCTTTCCTCCTGTATCCAGGAGATCCTTCTCATCTTTACTTTGATATACTTAAGCAAACAGCAGACCTTAAAAGGTGGCATAAGCACCGTCACATTCACGCTTTACGGCAAGAGCACTACAGGTCGTCGAGTAATAATCACTCGTAGCCCCCGTAAGGTAGGTGAGAGGCAAAAGTTTCTTCTCCTTTAGGTGCGAGGAGCGAGTGAAGCTATCGAAATGATCTCAACTTATTCTGGGGTCGACAGGGTGCTATCTTCTCCCCGAAAGGGACACGAATGAAAAAAACAAAGTGCTAGACATTACATGTAAGGTGACCGGCTCAATAGGTGAACAAGACAGCTTTTTTGGTGACGCTGTAAGAAGAAGGGCTAAATTAATAATTGATATTACCACTTTTCATACCTCTTGAAACACGAAACATTCCTTTAAAAAAAGTAGCCATCACACATAGACGATAGGTTTCAATTGCCCCGAATACCACGGGGTTGTGCGTCGAAGGTTGTCAAAAGGGTCTTGCTGTGACTCACATGGCAAAGGGCGGAGCAAACGGTGGTGTTGCCGCTCAGAAATGGTGTCGGCATTATGAAGCACGAGAGCATGGCTGGAGGGCGAGGAGTAGCGGCGTTATTTAGCTGCAGGCTCTTGAGCGTCAATGAATGGTAACTTCGTTTAGTCTCAGAAGGGACCTAAATTCAGATAATTAGCATTTAATTTTCGTTGTCGCGCCTCTTCCTGTCTACACTAGTGCACAAATATAGAAATGTCTTTTGACAGAGGTTCGGCCGCCATGAACAGATCGGATCGTGGAGGAGGAAGACTGTGGACGTGCACAAATTTGACCACCCATGCTTGTACCAAACCCATTGGCTGTTGCCGCGCAATTTCTAATCCTCTACGATGCTAGATGCACACAACGTCATCTGCATATTTTATAACACGAAAAGGGTACCATTTCCCCTTGGGAGGGGCAGGCAACCTCCTCGCCTAGAGAGGCGGGGAGGAGGTTGCTCTGGCAGAGCAACTCATGGTATTAAGTAGAAGGTAGATTTTTTAGGCTTGGAGAAAGTATCATGGTCATGACCATGCATTTGACCGTACTGGTGAGGGAGAAGTGGAAAATCTTGTTTGTGACCGTACAAATCGTATATGGTCATGCGCAAACCATCTCGGAGGCACGTCCATGGCGGCATCCAATCTATGCCCCATGCTGGCGCCAAAATCACGGACCACGTCAATTTGTAAAAGTACACAAATGTACAGCAGAGTCTTTACGCAAAAATAATCTGTCCCATTTCTCACATACCCGACGCAGATTACTCTGACAATGGTTCCCTCCGCACCCCCCCGGGGGAAGCGACCTCCCTCGCGGAGCGATCAAGGTGGTTCCAGAAAAAGGAAAAACACGTCCATCAAGAATCAAATCCGAAGTCTGCAACGCCGTCTGCGCAAGCTGGAAGGAACCGCAAGGCCCATAGACGAGGATGGCCCCGTCCAGGTAGTTGTGGCCCCATGAATTTGCACGGCTCGGCTCCTTCCTCCCCGTGTCCTTCGGTTGTGAAGGGGTCTGTGTCCACCTTAACTTTCCTTCTTATTCTGTAACGCGCCTAAATACGGACCCTGCACAAACGCTTTGCTTTTTTTCCCAAAAACTCGGCGGCATGGCGATGTGTACGCCCCTCGCGTCGACTCCCGCCCGCCCCTCTAGTTTTCCTTGTTCCTTCTTGTCGGAGTGCCCTTTTTCCCCCCGTGGGAGTTTACTAAACGTTATCCTTGTAGCGCTGTTATCTTGCAACATTTTGTGTTTCTGTGTCTGTATTCTCTTGCCCTTTATCCCGGCTTTGCCGCCATTCTCTCCCCCTAACCCTCCTTCCCTCCCTCCCACCTTCCCTCCCTCCTTCCCTCTCTCCCCTCGTCCACCTTCTCTCCTTCCCTTCACTATTATCTTCCTTCCTCCAATTATTTTTTCTATTCCGAAGCTCCTTTTAGACATAACGCCTCGATTTCAGATGCCGAGGGGGTCACCCTTTGTGCCGCACCTCGTCTTCTCCTTCACCTCCCTCCCTCCCTCCCTCCCTCCCTCCCTCCTACGTCCTCATCTCTTTTCTTAAATCCCAACCAGCCTAGCCATGCACACCTTCACGAGCAACTCCAAGCGTTGCAATCGGCCCTGGAAGAACGCCGCCAGCAGACCCTCGAGCGGAAACATGCCCTCAAGTATCGGAAAGTTCGGTTTTTCGATACCCGGAAGTTGGTCCGACGCTACCAGGCGGCTTGGAAAGCGGCGATGGCGACGGAGTCGTCTCTTTGCCCACCCTCTGCCGATCCCCCGCCCTCGGTCCCGCCCTCGTTGCCGCTCGACGCCACGCCCGCCGGCTCAGGAGGTGCGTGCGCCCCCCGGGGGGGGG